AATTAAAACCAAAATGCAAAAAAGCAGCGATAGAATTAGCTATGGCTGCTGTCAAAGAATTAGCTGATAATTCATCCATTAAACTTCCTCGAGTCATTCCTATACCACGAACTGGTGGAGTGCTACCTTTAATTCCTATTTTTGCGGGATTATCTGCTGCTGGAGCTCTAGCAGGTGGTGCAGCTGGCATTGCTAAAACCATAAATGAATTCAAGATGGCTAAAAAACTGTTAGCTGAGTCAAAGAGACATAATGAAAAAATGGAAGCTCTTTGCATCGGAAAAGGGCTACACCTTAAACCACATAAAGATGGGCTTGGAATATTCATATCAAAAGAAAAAAAACTAAGATATCGGCTACCCAATCGAGCTTTAACTAACTTGGACATTTTAAAGATTGGAAATAGCATCCCATATTTTAGAGGTGTTTTTATGAGAGATGAGCTCCCTAAATAACCCCTTCAAAAAGAATGTGGTGTTATTAATTTAGATAGCTCTAAAAACTCTGGCTCTCATTGGGTAGCCTATGCAAAATACGACGATTATATTGAGTATTTTGATAGTTACGGAAATCTTAAGCCGCCAAAGGAATTCATAAAATATGCGGGTTCTAAAGTGAATTACAATTATGAAAATATACAACGTGACCATCCCTTTAATTGTGGACATCTTTGTTTACACTTCTTAAACAATTTTTGGTCAACGAAGCAATAAAATAAACGGGATCTTTCATAACAGTCCAGTATATAAGCATGTCTACTACGGTTACCATCTCTGGCAATAAATCAGAACTGGTCTCGTATTTTCAACCACCTCTTCATTTATCTGATCAATACGAGTGCGGTTTACTATACTTTTCAGTATTTAATTCAAGACCGGATATTCCAATTAAAACTAGAAATCTGTCTGTGATCAAAATTGAATGTGATCTTGTGTACGGTTCATACTGCAACGGATTACCAACACATTTTATTCATGAATTTGTATCAGATACTGCTCTAAGTCATGGTTATATAGAGATACCACAAAACGTTATTTACTTTCCAGTGAACAAAAATATAATTTCATCCATATCTGTTAAGATTGTTGATCAATTTGGTCACTGTATTAACTTCGAACAAGAATATATTCAGTTACGTCTGCACTTAAGAAAAACAAAATGATAGTATATTATAAAAACGCTCCAATAAAAATAAATCGGTTTATTTCTTCTGCGACCGCTAAGGTGCACAGACGTAATACAAAAATTAGAAACTGACTAAAGCAATAAAGACTTTCTTAAAGCCCTGGGGTTTAAAGTATGATATGCTACAGATTACTGAATTACCGCATTTCGACCAGTTCGATTGAAAGTTATGAAATCCATTCATACAATCCCTACAATAACAGCTTTAGTAGAAAACGATGAAATCAGAATCCCATACATCAGCAAGACATATACTGGCTACCAGTCAGCCAGTTCAATTTACATCGAAGGACAGGCAAGGCTGTTCGGTAAGATGGGAATCCGATCAAGAAAACGTTACGTTCACTAATACCCTGTTATGTCTTGTTTCAAGACATCAGATACGAAATGATGGTATCGAAATAGACCGCATTAAAAAATTCGGGAATTACGTCAACATAAAATCATACATTTCATTAAATGAAGCAGAAAATAAAGTTGCAGCCTTATGGGGTTGGAACTTAGCGGGATTCCAAAGTGATGGACATTTTAGTGCCGTGATACCATTGAATAAGGTTTTAGGGTTTGCAGAAGATTACAATAAAATTGTGATAAATTGTAAACACGAACTTATTTGAGTAGAAGTAACTCTAACTTAAATAGTGTTATTCTGACTGATGATGTTGTTAATTTTCAAATAGATATACAAAGAGTTCAGTGGAGAGTGCCACATATAAAAGTGTCAGATCGAGAACGACTAAACACTTTTAAAACATTTAGAAAGAGATAAACCTATTCAGATGGCTTTTAGAAATTGGGATTTATATGAGTATCCCTTGCTACCTAAAACTACAAGCATTCTTGGTCAGTAAAACAGCCTTCACAATTGGAAAAGCATAGGATATGTTATATTTTGCTTGCAAACTAATAGGAGAAAATAATAGGACTAAAGACAGTTCACTATTCGATCATTGTGAAGTGACCAATGTAACACTCTTTTTGAATTCGCAATATTATCCCTAACGAACCTTTAAGTTTAAAGTTTTCTGAGAACAAGTACAGTATATTATATGAAATGTATGTGAAATTTCGTCAGTCGTATTACAACAGTCCTGTAGACCCATGCTAAATCTAACAGATTTTAAAGAAAAGGCCCCCCTTTTCAATCTTAGATTGCTCCAAGACAAAACGATAGTTTGAAAACCGGTCCAGTGGACGTGCGGTTAGAAGTTGAATGTTCCACACCAATACCAGATAAGACAACTGCGTATTGTTTTGATTATAAAACGATCGACTTGTGGAATACAAACCTCTCAGCAACATTGTGCGCAGGTGATCATGATTGCTGTTGTTTGATATTCAGGGGATTTAGAACAGAAGCAGATGAATTTTATATTAAAAGAAATCGCTATACTGTGTAACAAAAAACTACAAGGTGGTTTTTAGTTAAAGCCACCATTTCCATTTAAAAACTTAACCGGAATCTGAAAAAAAAGGTAGTTCTTCTTTGGATTCAACGTAACAAAAAGATATACTGGAGTGAAGGATTTGTACCTTATTCCAATTACCAGACTTTGGTTTCCGATATATTAAGAGATAAATGTGTTTATGTTAAAGGTTCGGAAAAAGTTTTATGGTTAAAGCATATTTTAGAAAATAGTAACAGTAATATATTTAATTTAGAAGATAAAGGTTGTCCTAGTTTAGTACATTTATATGATCAATATAAACATTCTGAAGATATGTATAATTGTATTTATCATAACTCTGTATGTGCTTTTAAAAAATATATTGTGGTTTAAATAATGGTGCCATGATAATAAATTTTTATGAAATAAATAAAAACTTGTTTCATTTTTTTACAATATGTTTACTATCTCTGCCAATCCTGTACAATCACGTTTATAAATTGCTTGCAGCATTAAAGCAATGTCATTCTATGTTTATAATTATTAGCATCAAGAACTAGTAACTAAATAAATAAAATATGTATCAAACTAAATATAAACCTCGATATGATATGTATAATACATACAAAATACGTGAATTATCCTTTAATTATTACTGGGGGGACGAATAATTCAAAGAAAAGATTAGTGATGGAAATGGCTGATGCTGGATTCTTTTATTACGGAATTAATCCATATGATAAAGCAGCATGTTTTTCATGTGGAGGTATTATAGAAGATTGGGAAATTTATGATGATCCTTGGATGCAGCATGCTATAAATTTTCCACAGTGTTTTTATTTAAACGCTGTGAAAGGAGGGGAATATGTCAGTCAGTGGCAAAACATCGTAAAGAATTGTGTTAGTGAGAAATCTTTCATGTTGCAATGAAAACCGTATATGGAAGCGCATCGAATGAATGATGTCATACAATACACGTATCATTAATGTAAACAAAGTGCTTGAAGTGTTTCACTATTTTGTTACATATTCGATGACACGTTTGGCTTAATGGTTAAGACCCTGGTCACAACTGAGTGCAATATAACATGTTTCTTTAACCATCTAAACCAAGTGTCGTGGGTTCGATTCCACACGAACAAGAGTTGATGTTTGTTCGGGTCTGGATTTTGTAATTATGTTTCTCGATACTGTTTATTTAAATAAAGATATCGTAATAATAAGACCAAATGTATTTCATTAAACACCTGCTAAATATTAAGCTCAAGAAACAGGTCAGAATTTTGAATACACACCCAGATAACAGATCAGGTTAGAATTATGAATACACACCCAGATAACAGATCAGATCAGGTTAGAATTATGAATACACACCCAGATAACAGATCAGATCAGGTTAGAATTATGAATACACACCCAGATAACAGATCAGATCAGGTTAGAATTATGAATACACACCCAGATAACAGATCAGATCAGGTTAGAATTATGAATACACACCCAGATAACAGAATAGACCAAGTCAGAATTTGTGCCAGTTTTTAAATGAATTAAAACAGTTGCTCTTAAAATCAAACCAGTCTGAATATTACAAACTGAATCATAAGTTTACGATTAGCCCCAACTGATTGATAGTCTAGTAGGTATATTTCATGTGTGGAATTGGGGTTCCTGGATTTTTTTGATCCAGGAACCCCAATTCTACACTACTGACATACTTTTATGAATCTAGGTTCAGACCTAACGTCAGTGTAGCTTTAGTTTTGCGGTCGGTTTTCCTTATGCGTTTGATGGCAATTAACATAAAATTAAAGCTAGTTCCGATGTTGGTACACGATCTAGTTGCTTAACCGGCCAGTAAAAACTTAGACGCAGAATTTAATTACATTTATCAGTAAGATTATTATAATTTTGGAAGAAATTTTTATCGTTCGGTACTTAACTTGATTACCTAAATTAAGACGTGAATAATGCATACGTAATTTTTTCGACCAGTTCACAAAATATAAATCTTTTACTTATTTAATGATATTGTGTTAAAGATTTTTTCATTCAGACAGTTTAAGATCTCGATAATTAAGTATCTACCTACCTCAAAATATATCGCAAGTAATGGGAATCGCTATTAATGGTTTTTCTTCTGCGGTTTAGCTGATATTAACACAGGTCATATATACACAATCAATCAGAACGCTCTTTAATCATTTGACTAACTAAAATAAACTCTGTAAGAAATATATTCTGCGTACGGATGGAGCACGAATTGGTGGAGTTCTAAAATAATATTTTTCCAATAATTTACATATAATGGTTTTTTTTTTTGAGCTAGTGTATTGCATAAGGCAATATTATGTGATATCGAGTGCTATATAATTATTGGCGCACATGTCAGTACTGAGTTACTTACTTAGAATAACCGAGGAAAATTTAATAGTACGTTGAATCCAGACTGTAACTAAACATAGTTTAATTTTATGACTATTAATTTATACATTGAATTTTATTTACACACCGATTTCTCTATATCGAGCCGTATTATCAACACAACTGAACAATCTACTGCTACCGGTCTCCCTACACTACAATCCACTCAAGAAAATCGCTTCAATATCATTGTCAATGGCAGTGACCTAGCAATCAGTTGAATCGTTTAGTGTCAGTGAGTCACTACGCGAATAGACTAGAAGTGGTTCAAGCTGACCACGGTCAACTAGGGTGCGGTGTTTCAAGCGTATTGGGAGTATTAGGATTGATAGCGGAGCTACAACACTGCGTTGTGACTACTGGATTGTACTGAACTTAGAGTTAATGTCTTGTTCACAAACTATTCAGTGTGGGTCTATGTGGAGGCAACTTTTCATGGTATACTCATGTGTTAAGCCGTGTTTGCGATGGGAAGTCATAACGTAGTGTTGCAGCCTGGCTCATTCAAGTTGACCACCGTCAACAAGAGTGCGAAACATATTGGAGTTGATAATGATGCGTACCCTTCTCCAGTGAGCGCGCAACACGCCTGTATATGCCACGGGTGCTGCTTTATGGAGGTCAGGTCCAACTGTTCCGATATCTCCGCCGCCGTCATCGAACCCTTCACATCCTGGAACATGACAGAACATTCCAATTTAATTATTTATTTAAGTATTACAAGTAGTTAAACAAACAATTTTGCAAAAATACACAGGATCTTAATAATTCCTTTGCTTATACTACGGCTATAATTTCAATTTTCAATTGCATGTCATGTGCGTGGCCAAGTGTGCCTACTTATGACAAATTCGTAGCCATAAGCCTGATTCGTGAGAGGGGGAATCTTCTTGCCAGATAACCACCATTGGATCTCGAGGCAAAACGCGTATTCAAATTGTGCGCTGAGAGTCGTCGGACGGTCGCAACCGAGGGCCGGTCCCGCTATTGTCTTAATGGTTAGAGCCGACTGACGAGTGGCTAGAGAGAAGCAACGGTATACGGTGCTACGGTGACACGCCTTCCGCCTGACACATGTGGTTACCGAACTTGCAAGTTTAGAGAGTTTATATCTTTCCTCGCCCCGGTCGCCGCAGGTGACACTTCGGGCGACGGGGATTGTGCGACGATCTCCACTATAAGCGCGAGTCTGCAGACGATGAGCTAGCGTAGCTCGCTGCCCAACAGAACCTGACCTGAGCGTGCGGCATTTTTTGCGTTCCGCATGCGGCTTCAAGAACTGTTAGACTACCACACATAGGCTTAATAAGGCCGATGTTTGGCCAGGGTTGCGAATGCAATTGGAATAGTGTACCGCATTTCATGCAGCAGGAGACAGGGTGGTTTTTATTCACTAAGAGTCTGACACTTCCTCTCGCCCAACCAAGGGAGGGAGAATCCATTACACGACTTTCCTCCACTCAAATAAATCCTTTCGTGCGCGCGATTGAATAACAAGCACAAAGACAGGTGAACATACAAACATTTACCTTTACACCGACACGTACAGATGTGCCTGACGTACATATACACATACATACACTCCCACCTCTTATACAACGAAGGAGTAAGCAGTTCTGCATTTATAAATTTCCACGAGAATAGTAAATGGGTCGCGCACCATTCACCGGTTTCTGTATCCACTTGTTGCACAAAACTTGAGAACTTGAGATATGAAACATGTTCGATGTATATACTGGGCTCTGTTCTAGGCGGCATGCTACTATACAGCATCGATCCAAGCCGAAACCAGCCGACAATGCTTGCTAAAGACTACTATGCAATTGCAAGCAGTGGACTTATAAGGTTATTAAGTTCAAATATTGGAGTAAAATAGTCTTGTAGTGTGAGGTCACGTACCTACATATAGACACGTAGGGCACGCGCTACTACATTATCATATCAAAATAACTATCGGCACATTCTTAACAGAGATAAGAGTACTTTCATAGATCTAGCATTAAGAGCACGTAGCGTATCTACGTACTATACACAGGGTGGAGCCTGTGGTCCAGACTTAAGGGATTCACCGGGACTCTTATTCGATAGCAGCGGGCGCGCTGTGTTTTGATACTGAGCAAAGAGGCTATTAACAAATTAAAATCATTTTCAGTTTATTAATAAGCTTCTGTATAGATTAATAATAAGACCCGAGGGTCAAATACATAGTACAATGTGTCTTATAGAAGAATACTTGTAACATCAACCAAGAAAGGTAAAACAATTTTTTTTTTTAAAGAGTAACGAATGGAGTTTCTTGCTCGTTCTTCTCCATTCGAATCTACAATTTGGAATGAGCACTTAGCTTCACTGACGCACTGATTTTGACGTTTCAAAAGTACCTATTTATGGTTTAGTTGGAATAAATGATTTTGACTTTTTTTGACTTTTGAAACTAATTCGGCTGACAAATAGCCTTACTCTTCAGCCTGGTGTGTCTATCTCCTGTATCTACCAACATCACACTCACAAACATGTAGGTAATTACAATATTGCAATTCAAAGTATTTTCCTATTCATTCCCGGTTTGTAAATCGCATTACTAGCAACTGGTTAGTCCCCTATGTGGCCACGACCTCTCGAGAGGGGGTCCATTTAGCGTGATGACTGACTTCCTTGTCACATCATAAACAAATATCACACGATCTGTCTGTCGGCACACAGACGAGATAGTGCAAAAAGGGAAATTGGTGTGTTTAATTTTTCAACCCCCAAGCGAACGCCAGCACCAGTTCAAGCACCTATTGTTCTTCTATTGTGTCCCGAATTACCGAGATTGAAAGGTTAAATGTTGACTTTTAAAATGTATTACTAGCTTTTTGGCTATTTTCTTTGACAACATATGTCTTTAAGTAAAACTTTAATCTTTGACTCTTTGCTTGATATTAAATATCAAACAACATTCGTCCAGAAAAAAAACTATCAAACAGATACGTACGTACAAACACCTTCGTTTTACAATGTATTGGTAAAGATATTAATCATAATATTATGTGCAGGCGGTCGCTCAGGATCGAGTTTTATAAGTAGCCCAATGTCGTCATGTCAACGGTTAACAAAATACCATTTTTTCACAGTATTTCAAAGTTGTAGTATGCAGGTCAGCGGGTTAAAATTTCGCTGTTGCCTACATATATACATGTATACACAATACACCCGTGCCATGGTTTACTATGCGTCACCTGTTCATCTGTCCGCAGCCGTGATGACTCAGGAATTACAAATGACATTTACGTAATTTTTACTTACATCAACACGGAGTTAACAATACGCTTGCTTACTTAATATCATAGTAACAGGCTAGTTAGTATGCTGTAGGGTAGACTTTTCCTGTGTAGTAGATTCTAGATTTGATACGCACCAGACAGGTACAATCGACTGGTTTAGAAAGTTAGGACCGTAATGCTTTATGTTAAACTTCAGCGTATGCCTCGTAGCGTTCCTCGCTGACTTAAAGAGACCACCGCGTATGGGGTTTAATAGGGCTGAAGTTCAGCCAGGATTGCGGGTGAGCAAGGGAAGGAACTGAGGTTTTTAGCCTCTTGCCCCACCTACGGCGAGGTATGATGGTTTTGCCATTTGAATAAAAGTAACTTGTGTTCATGTAGATTATACGCTACCATATTTGGTGGGAAGTCAAAATAAAATGGGTTTGTTTCTTACAAACGCCAGTGCTGGAGATCAGACCCTTACAAACCTCGATATGTCACTAAGATAATAATAATAATTAAGAATACCGAGAAACCTATCTCTGACTGACTTGTATACATGTATCATGTATTCTCCGTAATCACCCGTCTGCTTTTATCTCAAATTATTTAGGTCATCGCTGTATAACTTTTAACCATATTCAATGGTATTCTTTAATCATTTCCTCGTTCACTCATCATTCAATCATCATTCTGTCAAGAATCCTCCTACCATGGAGGATTCGACATGACAACTTTTGAAATAATGAAATTGGTATAATTTTTATACCAAACAAACAAACAGTCTTGACTGGGTTAACAATATTATCTACTATTCCTGTTCAAAACATGCACGAATTAACATCTAACTAATTGAAATACTTAAAATTGTCTACATCATCTACTTAGTTTGTCAAATAAAAAGCCTAAAGCTGCGACAGAAGGCAACATACGATACTCTTTAAAAATATCGAGTTACCTTCCTTCGAAAAAGTTACGTAGGTAGTATATAAAGTTAACAAGGTGTACTTTCACATATCACGTCGCTCGGATACACGGCACGTTAAGGTATACCGAAGTATTTTTCGTTACTACAACTTCGACTTTATTTTTAAACAATAAAGTTTAAATTTTATTAAAGAAATATTGTTAACTTGATGCGCTTGTGTTTATCTCAGAGAATAAACAAGCGTTCAAGGATAAAGACCGAGCTATGTATATTTTGGTTATAAATAATGATGACGTATCGCCGTTGACACAGGTGCTACTTGTACATATGTAGGACATATGGTACGCGTCCTTACTTTACAGTTGATTTTTACTAAAGTAATAATTACTCACTTTCAGCGTGATTTATAACTGTACTATTGTAACTTGTTAATTTTATATAGATTCAATTCTAAATATTAAGCGACGAGTAGACTAAATATCTGATATCTGTATTTATGAATACTTAATTTTAAACTCCCCATATACATACATATGTATAAATACTTATGTCTTCTGCCGCATTTTGTCTTTAAATAATTAATTTATCTTTACATTGAGGTGTTAGGTTCATTATGATTGACCTTGAGCGAAGACTAAAAACTTAGTTTTTTGCACGCAATATCTAAATTGTTATTAAGTAGTTACATAAGGTAATGCGGTAGCACTAAGTGTCCGTGTGTCATTGTGCATAGTACCTAATAGTAAATGCACTTTCACATTCCACATACCGATTTGAAGGTTATAATATAATATAACTGTGCCATTATCGCTACGCTCTCAATTAGACCCATTATTACTGTTCGGTAGTGGTTTCATATTAGACTAATTTATATACAGTTTATTTGACTTGACGATATATGTACGTAACATAGTAAAACCTCATCTCTTTTCATTATTTTTAAAGATGATTGCCGCATATTATTATCATTCCACTATTAAAACGGAAACATAATAAGAAAAATATTCATAAAAACAATATGAAATAGATCTGTTCATTGATCATGATCATACAGCCACCTTAATCAAACATGTTTCAATACTTATAAATAGTTTGTTTAATGTTTTTTTTTTAGGTTTTAGATACATTTGAAAGGATCTTTACCAGAAAATATGTACTAACCTGTTTGGATGTCGGTTTCAGAGACTCGGAACAACATTATTAATAAAACATACTGCTACTGACCTGTTTGTTGGCGTACACTAGAAGACAGGCTCTGCTGAGCTCCTCGTGCTTCAGCATCTGGTGCAGCTCATCGCGGCTGATGCTCAGTCGGTTACGATCCGTCGAATCAATAACCATTATCACGAACTGAATAAACAGAAAAAAGAGCCTTGTAGTCGTCGTGATTGTTGTACATTATCAGATTAGTTGAAACTTATGATCACGGTATTGACATCGATCCGGTATTTTAGCTTTGTTAGTAGGGATCATTTTCGTATATATATAAAGGGTTAGATTTGATATATGATAATAATTATGTTACTACTCGTAGGGTTAGATAATAAAAGTGTGCCCTGTAATTTACCCTTCAACAAAACGGGCTTAGAGCTTTGAGTTATTGAGTTATTGAAAAATAATGATGAGGAATTACCAAAACCAAATATCAGTCAAAGGAAAAATAATATAAGAGCCTAATTGTGTAAAATAAATAACAAAATGATGGAAATCGCTAGCATATAAAATCAACCACTGCTCTATAAACCTGGCGTCGGGCTGGCTCAGAGGTGACGGGACCCGCTTCTAATGCATGAGGATGCGAGTTAGAAACGTTGCAAGTATCTATGTAACTTATTATATGTACTTTCTAAATTTATTGAGAATGAATCTAGTCTGCTCATTTTAATTTATACATATAATACGGTTGTTTCCAACTAGTCAAATTCAATACTTTTATCCAAATGTCAAAAACGATACTTTTCTATGAAAATTGTATGAAACATTGAATTATGACGTCATAACATTTTTGCGTCAAATAGCTTACTTATTTTTTAAAAAATTAGATAAAAAATATCTAAAACTTAGTGTATCGATCGATCGATGAATAAAAATATAGTTATTTTTCAATATTTTATTATATTAAAACGTCGAATTAATTTATTTTTGACCTAGGAAACTACCCAATTGGCTTTGCTCTCTTTGCATTGAAATTAAAATTAAACAATTAACAAAAATCGCATATTGCAAACTATTATGAACAATGGCTGGAGCGAAAACAAATGACCATCGCGCCCGATCGATCGCGGAGACATTCAGCTGCATGAAATAATAAAGCGACATTACAGCGACCGATAGAGGCAATTTGGCTATTAAAAATGTAAATTACTGCAACTGCGGTAGGTAAGTGGGCCGGGCATTATGCGCATAGCGTTCATTCATAAGTCATTGTCATTCATACTTGATGTCAAATGGATCGAAGGAAGCCTTTGAATGGATTTTGTAGTCGACAGCTATTTAATTTATGCATGACGTTATTTTTCTTATCATTTTTTTTCATCCTTTCAATAACATTTGCAAGAAACTTAAGTTTCGCGCTTAGCAATTTTGTGTTATTTTAAATGATGTGTTCAATAGGTACAAAGCAATAGCAAATCAAATAGCAATTGCAACAATTAGCCTACTAGTACTTATCAATTATCATGGTTGACCTCAAGTTACAAAGTACGTTCTAGTTCGTCAATCACGAAGTTCCAATCTCTATCTTTCGATATTTCTAAACCTACTGCAGTGTGGGATTCTAACATAACTAGAAAAATTCCTTTCAATAGACTTTTTATAGTTTAAGTTAAAAATATGAATAATGTTGGCAGGTTGATCTTTACTCTTTACTTTGTTCTAAAGAAACGAATTGACATGAACAATGCTTTCATTTATCATTCGCCTTGTAGACATTAAACCCATAGATAAGAGAACATTTCCTAATATACCACGTTACTTACATTAAATTGCATATATATCTGAATAAAAAAATAAATACCTAAATAATGTGCTTTTCCCGTTCTAAGTTATTTGAGTTAGTATAATGTGCATCTTTTGTCACCTTAGATCAAACACAAACTATTTTGGATATTATTTCATGCACTTTTTATAATATAATACTAGCCAATACTTTAACACATTCAAAAAAATCAAACTGTTGTAAGTTTGATCTGTGATCACGTATTGCATTCATCAGTATTGATAATGTTAAGATAAGTCGACAATAGGAATTTATCGTACAGATAAAAATATATTTACTAATTAACATGGGCACGTAGCTTTTCATATGTATAGTGTTGTATATTAAATAAAGCGATCATTTCTTACCAGGTATTAGATAGTAGTATTAGACATGTAGTAGTTTTTTTTCACCTGAGGACCCTGCCTATCGGAAGGTTGGCAAACGCAACATAACACAGTGCCGATTTCAAGTATTCTTTTACCATTGACAAGCTAAATTCACCCTAAGCAACGTAGGTTAAATTGCACTCTTGAGAAGCCGTCATGCATTAATTTGTAAGTAACTGTTACATAAGGAAATATTTGTACATGGTCTTGTGTATGTGATGATAACAACATACTTAGTTAGACCATTTGAATAAAGGAAAACTACTCAGACAAATGTTATATAGGTACTGCGATACTGAGAATTATGTGTATGTAAAGACTATGTATGTATTTTATGAAATTCATAAAGACGCTACAAGGTTTGATTTTCCAAAAGTTACTAGATAGCAAGGATAAATATCTCCAATAAGATTTTATCCCACATAGAACTTATAATCAATTTAAAGTAGATGTTAACATATGCTACTGTTGCCTTATCTGTTATATCTTAGGAAATATAGATAACTAGGACGAAAAAAAATGATATATTCATAAACACACTAGCCAAGTCTTCAGTTACAAATTACTGTTTTAACATTCATATAATCCGATCATCTACATTAACTGAAAGCGTACAAGTATTGTAAGCAAAAATTGGTGAACAAGGCCACCTTGTAGCTGCTACTTAAGGCTACTTGAATATTCTCAATAGCGAGAGTGTGGTCTTTATTTGTCTTTCTTTTACGCAACAGAGTGGCTTACCTCTTCCCTACGCATAGCGGTTGAGACTATTTCTTTTACTATAAGGGTCATACATCGTTAATCTAGTTGTCGCTAGCGCTCTGGTTGGCAAGGAGTTAGGCTAAATACGCGAGTCGGGCAAAGTACCATAAAATTTTAGTGTTTTCGGAATTCTCAGTAATAACAACAGTAGACTCATCCTTGTACTTGCAACTTGACGGCATCGTAATCATTATGATATAAAACGAACATTGACCTCCCAGCGACTTAAGTTGGAACTCACAACATAACTGATGAAAAATAGTTTTTTTTTTTAATATGTACCTCCTTCTCCTCGGCGAGCAAAGAGAAAAAACGACGGCCCTCTTATTTTGTTTGGATACTTCTTCTCAGAGTTGTCAGATATGCACTGCGGACATCTAGTATTTTGTATAAAATTTTTGCAAGTGTAAAATGCTGTTTTATGGCTTATTTGCAAAAATAAACTTATTGTTTCATTGAGCAAAGGCCGTGAAATTACCAATATACGCCAGCTCAAGGGGACATTAATATTTTTTACCGCATAGCCAATACATTACAAATCATACGATATACGAGTTTATAAAGCAACAACTTTAATTAGAAGTACTACTTTTAATTACACCTACTCATGCAACGTAGGAATGCACTGAGGCACTGAATAACAGATTACTTGTACAGACAGTTTCAGTGCAAGTCTTTATTTATTCACAAATACTTATTGAAAACACACTATTACACTTTGGTCATAACTATTCGACCTAAAACGCACTAATATTACCTTAACATTGTCACATAAAACTAAAAACTAGCTGGATATAATGCAGTCAACCTACTTCTGGTTTGTTTATGTTCTCAAATAGACTCATAATGAAATTACGTGAGACAATGTTAAAAATATAATAATATTTTTTGGATAATTTACCTCACTATTAGTGTAGTAGGTGGTCCACGCCGATCTTAAACTCTGTTGCCCACCAAGGTCCCACATAACGAAACGCAGGTTCCTCCATACTACTTCTTCTACATTGGAGCCGATTGTAGGCCTGGTGTGAACAGCTTCGCCCAGGAGTAACTGGTACAGTATCGTCGTCTTACCAGCATTGTCTAACCCAACGAGGACCAGTTTGTGTTCTGCGAAGAGGTGGAGATAGACTATGCTATTAAATATGAACTATTTATAATAAAACAACAGACAGTAGTTATTCTAATTTACTCTCTACACTTTAGATTTATCTGTAGAAAAAGAGCAAGAATTACCATAGCAGCCTGTAGCAGTACACTCAAAGAATATTTGTCAATTCGAAAACCACAAAATTGAATGAAATAACTTCAAATTAAAGCAAAGTCTGCACTCTTATTATTACGAGTGTATTACTTTCTTTATGAAACTTGTTATGATGTAAGAATTTGTTACGAAGCAATGATCGCTTGCTTAATTTAAATTCATAATCAATGTCTTACTGTAACCATGTTAGATTGTAAGTTAAAACTGACCCTAATATAATAATTAAGTTTCTTGCTACTTTTATACTTGTGAGTTTATCTTTGACACCTGTTTTATCTAATAAATTAACCTTTCAGTTGTGGTAATTCAAAACACAATAGAACAACAATATATGCACGCCAGTGTTTGCTTGAGGTGTGATGAATTAAAGCATCACCCACTCATTCAGTAAATAGGAAAACATATACAAATAAGTACTGCAACCCATGATTCTAATATCATCATGCAGTCTTTCATTGGAGAAATGTAAGCAATACCAGAAATTTCTGTCATACACAATAAGAGACAAAGTAAGACTCAAACCTAAGACTTAGCCTAGTACTACCAATAGCCTAAGCCTAAAGCCTAATAATACCAAACAAATAAAATAACAAACATTTTTTGTATGTTTTAACTGTGTAATTATATGTTTGTCATTCTTTCCTATCTTTTGGGGATTTCTTTGATTTGAGTAGGGAGTTGACAGATTGGACTTTCTACAGGCTACTTTAGTTCTCATAATTACAATATAGCAGCTGATGAATACTTTATTTAACACTTTTTTAGGTATTACATCCAAAGGCGGATATAATGCCAAAAGGGACATAATGCTCTATCAGTCAACCTTAAGCAGCTTGTGACACTTTAATAATAATTCATCTCTTTAGGTAATTAGGTAATAGTATATAAAATTGTTGTTATTACAATTTACCTCATACATGACTAGCTTCAACATAGATATACTGATAGTACACACTATGTTCCTACAGATTATGTTACTGTTTAAAATATTTGCAAGGTAAACAGGTAATAAAGTAAATAATGTTGTTGTCTCTGTTAATTTACATTGTTACGCTATATATCGCCCAAATACATACTTATCGTCAATGTTTAGCGAATACTAGCCTGACCAGTAGTAATCAATGATGGAAATATTAAACTATCAACATGCCATCTGATATACTTAAAACTTATAACAAATAAATTAGGTCGAGCGACCGAACAAAGGCCTTGTATTCTTTATCAGTACAAATTCTCACTCGCGTCAAATAGCTTGTCTCGTAAATTCATCTACATCTTGTATATCTTATCAACAACGTCAGAATAATGGATACACAACTCACCCTCGTTCCCGAACAAGCTCCAGATCTTCGAAATAAGTAAGCCCATCTTGCAGGCCCCGTTCCAATTCACAATAAAAGATCAAGGAGACAATGACTTCGATAACTATTTATTTATTCTCATTGTCGAAGACATTCGTACATCTACCAGCAGTGTTATGACTTAAAATTCCACTGCATACCGTTTATGGAACTCTTTTCACGCTCTAGTTCACTTAAATATTCCACGAAAACTCATTTTTGTTCGCATGTAGCGTAAAATATGTTTGCTAAAGTGTCTCTACAATTTTACTACAAAAGTACAAAACGAACGACGTTACGCATTGAAAGACAGCGACAAGATAAGACCAAAGACAAGGATATATTAAGTATAGACTTAGCCATAGAGTTATTACACTCTTCAGACAAGACGAAATACTAGCTCCATTGCTCCTCTCATCTGATATTTCCTTCATGCCTCCAATAGAGATAGAAAATAACAGTAAGAAACAAACAAAACTGGATTTTTTAATCTGTCCTGCACAGTTTTTGACACTAAAACATAACAAATATCAAAAAGCTTAGAATTAAAGTCAAAAAAGCACAGGAGTCGTAAGCAATACTTGCATGTTTTATACTCGTACCTATCGTAATAACTTATTACGAGTTTAAAGTACTTGTATTTAAATCCGTGACAGGAAAACATTACAATCCAGATGGCGCCACTATAACTTGTTCCAACGCGTTTAGCTACATTATTTTCATAGGTTTTGTTCGAAAAGGATGGGCAAAACTTTCATTTCGTCGCTGTGCCTGTTATTACGATTGTAGTGTGGTATGTTGGTTGCTCGTTGGTTAAACATTCAATCTTACAAAGTAATTTATAGAAAACTATTGGGTTTTATATATGTCAAAACTACTTTGTGTCCACTAGATAAGGTATAGATCCGTACGTATGTTGAAAATTAATTTATATCTCCGCATAGAGATAATCAATGTCATTCCTATCTAGGAACATAGGAACATGCTGAATTTAACAATTACTCAACAGAATAAAAAGTACTTAATAATATATGAAGCAAAACGTATAGGCAACACTAATAAAAATATATACTTATTAATTATTGCGATAGTGGATGTTAACCGCAAGTATGGCTATGTCTTTGCACGATTAGGTATTTGACAACGCCAATATTATCATCGTTTAGAGTTAGGCGACAAGGTAACAACTCAAGTAGCAGAATCATCAGAGATTAACGCAAGAATAATGCGATCCAGCGGCAATTAGTATGGATGTTACCCGTTAAATTCTGGCTGCAGCATAAGATACGCACTATATCTAATATCTATCTTTTCAAAAAGATCTCAGAAACATTTAGACTTAGGTCATCTTGTTTAAAGCTTGTTGCCCCTGAATGCAAATTTTAGTTAAAGAGCCGCTCCGTTCGCTTCGAAACGGATTATCGGGTCGATGGCTGGCCTACACGTAATGCTCGTAAACAAGTGCCTTTTACTGAAGTGGGCCGGCTTGCCTATCTTTTTGGGAGCTGGTCCAGTATGGTCAGTGTTGGTTCATCAAAACTTACTCAATACTTACTCTTACTTGTATAATAATACAACACAACACTATAGAGTAATTGTCTATAGAATTGTATTGGTTGCTATCAGTCATTCGCTAGGCGCTCACTATTTATTATCAGCCATGGCCGTCTCACTGCTAGGCAAAGAGGTCCCGACTGTCCTTCCACACAGCCAATCCTTATAAGAAGGTGTCAAGTTCGTCCTGCCATTTCATTGATGTTATGAATTACTAAGCCGTCGAACGGAAATTTTCGGTTTTCTTCTTCAGCTTAAGTTGAACTAATTATATGCAGTACGAATATATGTAGGTGTAAACTAAATAAAACAATTTAAATTTTAGTCAAATGTTTATGTACAATTGTGAACTTACTTTGAAATAAAATTAGGTGGTAAGAACTTTTTCCTCAACTTATTAAAATTTCGCATAAGCAATAATAATTCAAACGTGGGAAACAAATGCGTCGTTGTGTATCGCCGTTAGATTAAGGTTACTGGAGAAATGGGAAATCCCCTTCTCTGCTAAATCTAATCCCCAATCCTCAAATTACTAACAACCCCCCGAATCACCGGCAACGCACGTGTAACTACTCTGGTGTTGCGCCTGTCCATGGCGACATAAATTGCATACCATCCGATGATCTGTCTGCTTATTTTTCGTCCTAAAAAAAACCATTAAAAGGATTGTCATAAAAAGTAATCCAGCACCCCTTTCTTTAATTAATCAACATTTGATCCAAAAGAACCGAGGAGCTTATTTATTATTCCAAAATGTATCAAGTGAAACATGTTTTATTCTCAGTTCTCAGCTTTAATTTGTACCAGGGTACCAGGCAGGTATTCAGGCAATTCACATCCTATGTCACATACAGGAATATTCGACATTGTTTTATTTAAAATTGTATGCTTAAAGTAGTCAATTCCATCGGCGGAAAGTTGGTATGGGTTAAAACCAATACTGGTACACCTCGGTCTGTTCCCGGCAGGTTCATTTGATGAATTTTCATCGTGTTACGGAGTATTTTTTTAAGAACTATATTACTATCACCACTACAGTGCAGCACTGCAGAGTTATCTACTTGACAGGAAAAGCTTTGCCGGTGTAAAGTCATCAACGCAGTGTCGGGAGTATCGTGCCGAATCTTACTTCTATGTAACACTGCTCTAAAATTAACTAAGTAAACATCACAGGGAAAAGAAGTTTTGACTAAAGGTAGAAAAGCATAGTAACAAAGTTTTGTGTGATTTTTTTCGATAAGGAATATATCTAGTAGGTTATCGAGGGCGTTAGCAAGGTATAATGCAGATAGACTGGGCAACTTTAATTCATTTTTGAAAGATTGGCGCATAAATGAGGTAGGTGCACCAACGAGATTTTCCAACAATAAAAAGTTTCTGTGGCACGTGGCGGTACTGTCTGCTAGTCCTTCAGGTGTGCCTCGGCCATCGTTATAAAGGACTCGTCGGTCGAGCATGAACAGCATTTGCCCTTCCTGCAGAGCAGTGACACCTTGAGCATGGTCCGTTATGAAAGTGAGTCTAGTATTTTTATCTTGTATAAATGCCATACTCGTTATTGGATACATGTTGGACTCAACGCGTCTACTGATATTTAAAATCCGCGCCGTGTACTGGAAGCCATTGTTGTCTGTAAATATCTCAGGAGGATTGCCATTATTAATATCTGTCTGCACTAAAAGAAAAAGCTCTAATTCTCTGTACTTTGGTGATACTTCGTAATCTACTTTGCTTTCCATATAAATAGCACTTGACAAAGGGCTTCTGAGGAGATTGAATATTCTGGTTGTGTGTTGTAATAATCGTCCATAAACACTAGTTATTTCCGTAGTGACTAGCCCTGATATAATCATCGTGAGTTTATTTTTAATTCCCAGTCTATATTCTGATAAAATATCTTGTAGAGGTTTAGTAACATTTGTGTTAAATAAAAACATTCCTGAATTAAAACCGGAGTCTCTAAACGCACCGTAATCAATTAAAATGTTTTTCTCAACATTTGTTTCTTTCTCCAAAACTGTTTTCAAGAAGCCAGTATATTCATCAAACACAAGTCTATGTTTATAACTCTCAAGTTGTATGTCACCTGACTGTATCGGTTGAATGGTGAACGGATATAGAGTCCCGTTGTTGATAACCTCGTCAACATGGCACGATAAACAAAATATCGTAGCAGCATTCTGTGAAGCATCGTATGTTTCCTTAATCTGAAAAAGTTCTAGTGTTAACGGAGGTACCATTATAGCAAAGATGATTTTGTAAAACATTTTTGACAATTTGATGAAATTTTCCGTAGTGTAAGTCCATACTGGGTTTATCTGAACCGTTACGTCTTTTTTATTGTGATCCACGATTCTTATGTTTGGATATCTCGTAGTGAGTTCTACAATTTCGGTTCGATCATGACTCAAAGAGTTAAAAATGTATACTTGATCTCCAGGTGAAACTGTCCTTAATGCGGACATGAATTCGCCATCTCTGTAAACATATTTTTGTAAATAGGGCTCGTGTTTCTCTGGCTTCATACTTAAGAAACTAGCAGAAATTTCTTGGATGTGCCAGCAGTCCCTGGCTGTTGTTAGCATTTGATTGTGAACATGCTTCAAGGTGTTTGCCGACATTGTTCCGCTTACGACATTTCGGTCCATAAGACGCGCAACTGTTTCTCTTGCCTTTATTAAGAGCTCATATACTTGGGAAATGTTAGAGCGCCGAAACACGTGGAGATTTAAAGCAAAAGAAAATAATATCTCTGTAGTTCGTAGTGTTGATTGCAAACGCCTTAATAGAATCTTAGTAAACGGTCTTGATGTATAGAAGCCAGTCCAATACGCAGGACTACCGGAACTAATATCAGCGAAATTAAGAAAGTCACCTTTAATTGTAGGAAAACCTTTATGTTTTCTTTTTAATGAGTCAAAATAATCTTGGGTCGTTCCGAACTCTATGCTAGCTTTATAAATTTCCTTATTTGCTGCCACAAAGTCGGCAATTTTTTTATAATTATTAAACTGAAAATCGAATTCTGACTGCATTTCGTAATGAAGCGGACCACCTAAAGGTGCAATGATAGTGTTGTGGGGTGATATTGTTCCTGATTTAGAATATTGTTCGAGAAGTAGCTCGGCTTTTTCTTTCACATTGTATGCACCGACATCAAGATTTTTATGATTTGTTGCAAAATTATATTCTGAAGCACAGAGAGCGCCTTTTGGACCACACGCTCTGAAGCCAGCTGAATTGAATTGCAGATAATGTGTTAATACAGCATGCTTCGGATAGCGATCATTCCCCATTCTGTTCAACACATCATTCAAATAGGATGGATAAGATTTATCGCCGTCCCAACTCTGAATCCATATAAAGTCACTATATTGAAATTCAGCTAAAAATTGTTCCCAAGCGTAATGAACATTTGTAATAACCAGTTCGTAAATATTTGATGCAGCTAATAGATAGGTCATCGTTGGACTGTGAGTGACACTGTTCGTTAACCAAGCTACTTTCGGAGTATAATTCAAATTTTGCTTTAGCCACTGGTGCCCTGAAAATAAATATTATGGTAGCTATTATAACTATTTATCATGAATTAATAAAATCATTAATAATGTGCAGCCTGCGAATGTCATTGTGCCACTGCTTGCCTTTGTATTATACTGAAAGAATCTTTATTTTCATATTCATTGT